TTAACATATGAAGATCATAGTGAAATTAATCATCATAAAGATCCATTATTGTTATTATTATTATAGCAGTGTAAATATATTATCATCAAATGATGACAATGATCAAAGAAGAGAGCAAATGGAATACAAAAAATACAAATATTCCATCATCATGATTGGCAAAAAATGTTCATCAATATATTTAAACAAACAATATAAAACATGATCAAAACCTACCTGAAGAACCTTGGATCATCATCTTCAATGCTGCTGGTCTACCAGAGAGAATCTTATTGCTCTTGTGAGCAGTCATGGAAACAGCTGTGGAAAAGATCATTTTTTTAAATTTTATAAAAAAATAACTTTCTTGGCGCTCTCTGGATCATGACGAGTACTTGAAAGTTTATGAGCGTCATCTCGTGATGGTGAAGCTGAGGTGAAGGGAATTTTGGGATGAACATTTGGGTTGACATGTTGGAATCCTATGAAAAGGGCAGAGAGGAAGATCACATGTGGATTATTAGGTTTTGATGTTGACTATATTATTGGCTTTGTGAAAATTTAGTAATTATTTGATGATTAATATTATTCGAAATCACACAGATCTATGACCATGTGATATTCTCAGTGTGGAGCCTCCACAAATTGTCACTACCTTTTTCAAATTGAAATTGCCTCTCATCAAAGAGAGAGAATTGAAAATTAGGCTTGTTTCTTCCTCCGATAACAATACTCTTAGCGAGTCAGCCTTGATTCACTACATTGAAAAACAGCCTCAAACACAGAAAAGCCAAAGAACTACAACTCGAAAAAAACACCTCAACAACAAGCACACCTTTCTCTCTGTATACTACTATGGTAAAACCTCTAAGATACAACAACAACTCAATGATTCGTTCGTATGGTGGTGGTGGAGGCCCTTCTGCAGAACAATCGAACAAGCCTTATTCTTCTCTCTATTGTGAAGATGAGAGCCTATTCAAAGTTGATACGAAACTCTACACTAAAGAGGAGTTGGAGGAGCAGCAGCAAACAGCCTCATCGTATGAATCTCCATTCTTCTCTATGGGACAATCATTCGAATCAGCATTATCATTAGCTAGAGAAGAACAAGATGATTCATTTGCATTCATAGAGTTTGGAAAGGAGTCATCATCATCATCAACTGATCCATATCATATTTCACCTCGTAAGATTGAAAGAAATGTTGCACCACCAAAGGGTCACTTTGTCAGAAGAACTATCAAAAAGAAGAATCATTGTGACGATAAAGGAGAGGAGAAGGCTTTGAATTTCAACTTTAACTTTCAGACAAAGAGGCTTGACGAATCCAAGAGAAATGCTCTCAAGGCTTTTTATAACAATGTGAGGGGAATAGAGTCAAATCTCAAACAACCTTTGCATGTCTACCTGAAGGAAAATGAAGGAAAGGGATTTATTGGCAAGTTTTCCAATGCTACCAATTCATTCAAAACAATGAATCAATCTGATCAGCAATATGATGCAATGGATGACCATCCTGATTTCCAATCTTTGAGAATGATGGAAAGAGACTATAATCCTGTAGGTCGTCGTTTTAGAGGTGGTGGAGGTTTTGGAAGGAGAAGAATGATAAATATGAGAAGACTGGAAGAAGAAGAAGAATATAGTAGATATGTTATGAAAATGGAAGAAGAAGAAATGGTAAGGAGAATGGAAGTCATGGAAAATTATCCAGGAATGGGAAGATTTACCAACCCATGTTTTTCTCAACCAACACAACCAACATTCAGCATTTCGCCTACATCACCAGACTCTCCACATTCAATCAATCTAATGGATGAAGATAGCCCACTTCTCGAT